GTGAAATATGCAAAATAGTATGACTGTTTACTTGTGGTTTTTCAATGCGCTCAAAATTTTATAATGGAAAATCAAGTCTTGTAATTTTTCGAGAAATCTGGATTTATTTACTTTTAATTTAATTTAATTATTTAATTTTTTCAGTTTTTCAATTTTGCATTTTTTTATTTTCCGATATTTCTTTTTCTCAGTTTTTAATTTTTCGATTTTTTGCTTTCTCAATTTTTCGAGTTCTTGATCTTGATTTTTCATTTTCTCGATTTTATATCACAATTTTATAATTTTTGGTTAATACAATTCTTTAATTGTCAATCTTTGATTTTTCAATTCCTCGATTTTTAACGTTTCAATTTTTCGTTTCTTCAACTTTTCAAGTTCTTGATTTTCAATTTTTAGATTTTTCGAAGTTTTCATTTTATATTTGTTAGTGTTTTTATTTTTGATTTTTCAATATTACAATTTTCCCTTTTTTTTCGACTGAAGAAACGAAACGAAAAATCGAGAAACCTCAAAATTGAAAAAAATCAATGAATTGGAAAATTGGAAAAAAGAAAAAACGAATCGAAACGCAAAATTGGAAACCCCAGAATTGTAAAATCGAAAAATTATAGAATCGTCAAAAAATCGAAAAATTTTAAATAATATAACTAATACAAATTTAAAATGAAAACTGAAGCATTAAAAAAATTTAAAAGTTGAAAACTCGAAAAACCCAAAAACTCAAAAATTTTACATCGAGAAAAACAAATTAAAAAATCAGAATAATGAAAAAGGGAAAAATAAAAAAAATTAATTAAATAAAAACCGAAACTTTTGTTTTTTCAGTTTCTAGTTTTACAATTTTTTAATTTTTCATTTTTTGTTTTATTTTTTCAATTTTACAATTTTCGTTTTTTTTTTCGACTTTTCAATTTTTGGACATTTTAAAAACGAAAAAATAAATATCAAAAGAGTATAAAATTGGAAAAAATTGAAAAATCGAAAAACTAATAAATTTGAAAAACTGTAAAATCGAAAAGTGAAAAATTGAAAAATTACAATCGAAGAACTGAAGAAACGAAAAATCGAAATATTGAAAAACTAAAAATCGAGAAACTTCAAAATTGAAAAAAATTAATGAATTGGAAAATTGGAAAGAAGAAAAATCGAATCGAAACGAAAAATTGGAAACCCAAGAATTGTAGAATCGAAAAATGATGGAATCGTCAAAAAGTCGAAAAACTGTAACATTGAGTGAATAATTGAAAAATCAAAGAATGAGAAAGTGAAAAATTTTAAATATTATATACATATTTAAAATTAAAACTAGAAAAATTGCGGATGAAAAATTGAAAAAAAGGAGAATTGTAAAATCGAAGAATAAAGCAAATTTTAAAGTTGAAAAATTTAACATTGAGAAAAACAGAATTAAAAAAATCAGAACATTGAAAAAGGAAAAAATTGAAAAAATAAAGTAAATAAAAACCAAAACGAAAAATTGAAAAATAAAAAAATCGGAAGTTAAGAACTGAATACTGCAGGTCGAAAAATTGAAACTTCCAAAAGTTGGAAAATCGGAAAACAGAAAAATTTAAAAATGATAACAAGTCTTCAAATTAAAATTTTTCGATTTGAGTTTCCCGAGTTTTCAGTATTTCGATTTTACAATTTTTTGTTTTCTCAGTTTCAAATTTTTCAATTTTGTGTTTGTTAAATTTTTTTATTTCCAATTTTTTAATTTTTCATTTTTTGTTTCTTTATGTTTTCAGTTTTACAATTTTAATTTTTTTTCGACTTTTCAATTGTTGCACTTTTTAAAACGAAAAATTAAATATCAAAAAAGTAAAAAATCGGAAAAAATTGAAAAATCGAAAAACTAATAAATGAAAAATTAATGAATTGGAAAATTGGAAAGAAGAAAAAACGAATCGAAACCAACAATTGGAAACCCAAGAATTGTAAAATTGAAAAATTATAGAATCGTCAAGAAGTCGAAAAACTGTAACATTGAGTGAGTAATTGAAAAATCAAATAATGACAAAGTGAAAAATTTTAAATATTATAAATAATACAAATTTAAAATGAAAACTAGAAAAACTGCACATGAAAAATTGAAAAAATGAAGAATTGTAAAATCGGAGAATTAAAAAAAAAATTAGAGTTGAAAACTCAAAAAATCCAAAAACTGAAAAATTTTACATCGAGAAACACAAAATTAAAAAATCAAAACATTGAAAAAACAAAGTAAATAAATACCGAAACGAAAAACTGCATATCGAGAAATTGAAGAAATGAAAAAATTGAAAAATATAAAAATTGAAAGTTAAGAACTGAATACTCCTGAAATTGGAAATCGAAAAATTGAAGCATTCAAAAGTTGGATAATCGGAAAACAGAAAAATTTAAAAATGAAAACAGGTCTTCAAATTTAAATTTTTCAATTCGAGTTTCCCGAGTTTTCAGTGTTTCGAATTTGTAATTTCTTATTTTTTCAGTATCAAAAGTTTCAATTTTGTATTTTTTCGAGTTTTCAATGTGCAATTTTTTAATTGTTCATTTTTTGTTACTTTGTTTTTTCAATTTTACAATTTTCATTTTTTTTCCATTTTTCAATGTTTGTACATTTTAAAGACGAAAAATTAAAAATCAAAAAGTGGGAAATCGAAAAATTGCAAATCAAACAACTGAAGAAACGAAAAATCAAAACAGAGAAACCTCAAAATTGGAAAAAATTAATGAATTGGAAAATTGGAAAGAAGAGAAAACGAATCGAAACGAGAAACCCAAGAATTGTAAAATCAAAAAATTATGGAATCGTCAAAAAGTCAAAAACTGTAACAATGAGTGAAAAATTGAAAAATTAAAGAATGACAAGGTGAAAAATTTTAAATATTATATACATATTTAAAATGAAAAGTACAAAAATTGCGGATGAAAAATTGAAAAAAAGGAGTATTGTAAAATCGAAGAATAAAAAAAAAATTAAAGTTGAAAAATTTAACATCGAGAAAAACAGAATTTAAAAATCAGAACATTGAAAAAGGGAAAAATTGAAAAAATAAAGTAAATAAAAACCAAAACGAAAAATTGAAAAACATAAAAATTGAAAGTTAAGAACTGAAAACTCGTGAAATTGCAGATCGAAAAATTGAAATTGAAATTGGAAAAATTAATGAATTGGAAAATTGGAAAGAAGTGAAAACGAATCGAAACGAAAAATTGGAAACCCAAGAATTGTAAAATAGAAAAATTATAGAATCGTCAAAAAGTCGAAAAACTGTAACATTGAGTAATAATTGAAAAATCAAATAATGACAAAGTGAAAAATTTTAAAGATTATAAATAATAAAAATTTAAAACGAAAACTAGAAAAATTGCAGATGAAAAATTGAAAAAATGAATAATTGTAAAATCGAAGAATTAAAAAAATTTAAAGTTGAAAACTCGAAAAATCCAAAAATTGAAAAATTTTACATCGAGAAAAACAAAATTAAAGAATCGAAACATTGAAAAAATGAAGTAAATAAAAACCGAAACGAAAAACTGCATATCGATAAATTGAAGAACTGAAAAATTGAAAAATATAAAAATTGAAAGTTAAGAATTGAATACTCGTGAAATTGCAGATCGAAAAATTGAAACATCCAAAAGTTGGAAAATCGAAAAACAGAAAAATCGAAAACAATGAAAATGTAAAACTGAAAAAATAAAGAAACAAAAAATGAAAAATTAATAAATTGGAAATCGAAAAATTGAAAAAACACAAAACTGAAAAACTTCAAACTGAAAAAACAGAAAATTATAAAATCGAAACATTGAAAACTCGGGAAACTCGAATTGAAAAATTTAAATTTTAAGACCTACCAAAAATCAAAGAATGACACAGTAAAAAATATTAAATATTATAAATAATACAAATTCAAATTGAAAAGTACAAAAATTGCAGATGAAAAATTGAAAAAATGAAGAATTGTAAAATCGAAGAATTAAAAAAATTTAAAAGTTGAAAACTCGAGAAATCCGATAATTGAAAAATTTTACATCGAGAAAAACAAAACTAAAGAATCAGAACATTGAAAAAATAAAGTAAATAAAAAAGTTAAGAACTGAATACTCGTGAAATTGCAGATCGAAAAATTGAAACATCCAAAAGTTGGAAAATCGGAAAACAGAATTTCAAAATGATAGGTCTTCAAATTTAGATTTTACAATTTTTCGATTTCAAATTTCTCCAGTTTTCAATTTATAATTTTTTAGTTTTTCTGGACTTTAGTTTTTCATTTCTTCAAATTTTTGATTGACGATTTAGAATTTTTCATTGTTCAGTTATTGGATTTTATAACTGTGCATTTATTCGATTTTTCAGTTTTTAATTTCTCAATTTCTTTGTATTTATTTAAGTTTTCAATTTTTCGATCATTCAATGTCACAGTTTTCGACTTTACACAATTTTAACGATTCTATAATTTTTCGATTTTACTGTGATTGGGTTTTCCAATTTTTTGATTCGATTCATTTTTTCGCTTTTTAAATTGCTGGATTATAAGTTTTTTAATGTTTCGTGTTTCGTTTTTTCAGTTCTTCGATTTGCAATTTTTAGATTTTCGACTTTTTTTCGTTTTTTCAAAAATCGAAAAATTTCGCAAAGAAAAAAAACAATTAGAAAATCGCGACACTGAAAAACGGAAAAATAAAAAAAAAATAAAGAAAATAAGAAATCGAAACGAAAATCTGATATACGCAAAATTGAAGAAACAAAAAACTAAGAAAATTTAAATTGAGAAAACGGAAAAATTATAACCGCAACATTGAAAAATCGAAAATTTGAACAAATGAAAAATTAAAGAATCGAAAAGTCAATGATTAGTAAGTCCAAAACTTACATGGAATGACGAAATGGCAAAGATACTGAGGAAAATGGACCTAGGATGGGAAATCCGTTGCGAAAACAAAAGAGAATGGAATAAAGTGGTATATGGAGCTCAAGAGGAAGTATGATTTTATAGCTAAAAATGTAGATTACTCGAATTTTATATTGATTTTACCTTACACCTACGGGTAGATATACGTATAACCAAATACTCCATCTAAATTATGTGTAACTAATACATCTAACTAAACCCTAGAGAAATCCATACATAAAGTATCATCTACCGAGACTATTAATCGATTTCGAGCTTTTTAAAGTTACCATAGAAACCTAAAAAGTCACTATCCTCCAGTTTCTGAGGGCGAAGGCTCTCATCCACTTTAATTTTATCAATACGGTCAAACAGGTCTTGGTTCTTCCTGTATTTTTCTTCTAGTGCATCTACAACGTTAAAGTAAAATTTTTCGTACGAATTTTCACCCGAATTACCTTCTAGTTCTTGCAGAGATAATCCTTCGCCACCAAAGTCAACAGGAAGTAAATCCGGACGAATGACTTTCTTCAAGCTATCCAGGTCCGGGTGAAAATGTAGCTTTAAAAAATCACAATCAGCGTCACTTAGTTTTGGAGCGTTTGCACTTACTCTCTCGAACACTTTTGGTTTGATAACACTTTTTAAAGCACGAACGATGTTCATAATGTATGGTGCCGTGTTAATAGAGTGGACGGCTTTGAGACGCGCAGATAGAATTCGCTAAAATGGACCGAATTATTATTATTATTATTAAAACTCTTCTTGTTATCCTACTTCATACAATAACAGGGTTTTGTACACCAGCATCGGTGTGACTTTAAGGGCGATGCTCAACGGGAACCCTCGGTAATCAACGACCACAACGTCCCCACACATAACGCCGTCCCTCATCCGCATTTCTTGGATCGTGTGGAATTTTTTGACAAAGTTGATGGGCTCGTAAGACTCTGGTAGGCTTTCTCCTTTCACTTGGAAGAACGTAAGTCTGTACATTTCGTCGGTGAGCTGGGGGTGTTCGACCAGGAATCTAAAAACGTATCATTATTATGTCAATACGAACAACCATGGTGTTGGAGTACGCCGCCTCGTTGAACGTCCTGTGGTAGGGCAGCTTCGGGTTTATCCCGAGGGCTATTTCGGGCAATTTTGCCCGAATGGAAAAATAGTTGTCGATCTTCTGCTTGGCTATTTCGATACTGCACTTGTTGAGGATTAGAAAATTCCGAAGACAGTTTTTGTCTGGAGAGAAAATGAAAATTTTTCGTTAAATTGGTACACAAAGACGTACCAAACAGTTTCGGGAGGTGCGGTTGCGTGTTCAGCCATTCTTCCAAACCAAGTACGTCTTCGTCTAGGGCTTTGAGGTTGCTGTTGAACTGTCTGGCGGCCCTGTCGAACATGGGCTCTAGGTCTTGAGTGGTCATCTTTTGGAGAGATCGGTCCGCACTCCCAGACGCTATTAATTGACTAGAATTTCGTGGATCAGCCAAATTTATTCTTGTTCGGCTTTTGGCTAAGGAATGTGCATTATGCAGTTGTTCGATTGGACTCTTTAATGTGTTACATGGCGAAGGCCAGAGAGTCGTTGGGGACCTTTTTTTTTAACTTGTAGTTGATTGGTTTTATATTAACAAACTGCAACTAGAACACCTTGAGTTGTTTCATCTTCTTGTTTTTTCTTTTTTTAAATCGTTATTTAAATTTAATATAAACCAGTTAGTTAATTATGTTGTTCTTCTACGTGATTTTAAAAATAGGTCTCCCGTTTTCGTCTGTCTGTGTGTTTGTATAACCATCCTCACCAACAATGGGACGTCGTCATCTCCAAAACTTACATTAATAAATATTATTTCAATATATGTAATAAGAAGGTAAAGCAACATTTTCAGCTTTACTTTTTTCAGTGTTCCAATTTTGCAATTTTTCGATGTTACAATTTTTCATTTTTCGAAATTTCACTTTCTCGGTTTTTAATTCTTCAATTTTTCCTTTTCTCACTTTTTCGAGTTCCTGATTTTGATTTTTCATCTTCCCGTTTTTTTGATTTTCATTTTCTCGATTTTATATCACAATTTTTCGTTTTTTCGTTTCCTTTATTTGTTCAATGTTTCTTTCGATTTTATAATTTTTCGTTAAATAAAAAAAATCTTCAAATTTTCAATCTTTGATTTTTCAATTCCTCGATTTTTAAATTTTCCCATTTTTTAATTTTCGATCTTTCTCAATTTTTGATGTTTCAATTTTTCAAGTTCTTGATTGTCAATTTTTGGATTGGAAGAATTGTAGAATCGAAAAATTATAGAATCGTCAAATAAGTCGAAAAACTGTAACACTGAGTGAATAATTGAAAAATCAAATAATGACAAAGTGAAAAATTTTAAAAATTATAAATAATACAAATTTAAAATGAAAACTAGAAAAATTGCAGATGAAAAATTGAAAAAATGAAGAATCGTAAGATCGAGTTGAAAACTCGAAAAATCCAAAAATTGAAAAATTTTACTTCGAGAAAAACAGAATTAAAAAATCATAACATTGAAAATGCGAATAAATGAAAAAATAAAGTAAATAAAAACCGAAATGAAAAATTGGAAAATATAAAAATTAAAAGTTAAGAACTGAATACTCGTGAAATTGCAGCTCGAAAAATTGATACATCCAGAAGTTGGAAAATCGGAAAACAGAAAAATTTAAAAATGGTAATAAGTCTTCAAATTAAAATTTTTCAATTCGAGTTTCCCGAGTTTTCAATGTTTCGATTTTATAATTTCTTGTTTTTTCAGTTTCAAGTTTTTCACTTTTCTGTTTTTTCAACTTTTCGATTTGCAATTTTTTCATTTTTTATTTTTTGTTTTATTTTTTCAATTTTAGAATTTTCACTTTTTTCGATTTTTCAATTTTTGGACATTTTGAACACGAAAAATTAAATATCAAAAAAGTATAAAATTGAAAAAAATTGAAAAAACGAAAAACTAATAAATGAAAAATTGTAAAACCGAAAAATTCCAAATCGAAGAACTGGAGAAACGAAAATCGAAACATTGAAAAATAAAAAATCGAGAAACTTCGAAATTGGAAAAAAGTAATGAATTGGAAAATTGGAAAGAAGAGAAAACGAATCGAAACGAAAAATTGGAAACCCAAGAATTGTAAAATCGAAAAATTATAGAATCGTCAAAAAGTCGAAAAACTGTAACATTGAGTGAATAATTGAAAAATCAATTAATGACAAAGTGAAAATTTTTAAATATTATAAGTAATACAAATTTAAAATGAAAACTGGAAAAACTGTAGATGAAAAATTGAAAAAATGAAGAATTGTAAAATCGAAAAATTAAAAAAAATTAAAGTTGAAAACTCGAAAAATCGGAAAACTGAAAAATTTTTACATCGAGAAACACAAAATAAAAAAATCAAAACATTGAAAAAATAAAGTAAATTAAAACCGAAACGAAAAACTGCATATCGAGAAATCGAAGAAATGAAAAATTGAAAAATAAAAAAATTGAAAGTTAAGAACTGAATACTTGTGAAATTGCAGATCGAAAAGTTGAAACTTCCAAAAATTGGAAAATCGGAAAACAGAAAAATTTAAAAATGATAGCTGGTCTTCAAATTTAAATTTTTCAATTCGAGTTTCCCGAGTTTTCAGTATTTCGATTTTATAATTTTTTCTTATTTCAGTTTCAAGTTTTTCAATTTTGTGTTTTTTCAATTTTTCGATTCGCAATTTTTAATTTTTCATTTTTAATTTCTTTATTTTTTCAGTTTTACAATTTTCACTTTTTTTCGATTTTTCAATTTTTGGACATTTTAAAAACGAAAAATTAAATATCAAAAAAGTATAAAATTGGAAAGAATTGAATAATCGAAAAACTAATAAATGAAAAGTTGTAAAATCGAAAAGTTGCAAATCGAAAAACTAATTAATGAAAAATTGTAAAATTGAAAAATTACAAATCGAAGAACTGAAGAAACGAAAATCGAAACATTGAAAAACTAAAAATCGATAAACCTCAAAATTGGAAAAAATTAATGAATTAGAAAATTGGAAAGAAAAATTGGAAACCCAAGAATTGTAAAATCGAAAAATTATGGAATCGTCAAAGTCGAAAAACTGTAACACTGAGTGAATAATTGAAAAATCAAATAATGACAATGTGAAAAATTTGAAATATTGTAAATAATACAAATTTAAAATGAAAACTAGAAAAACTGCGGATAAAAAATTGAATAAATGAAGCATTGTAAAATCGAAGAATTAAAAAAAATAAAAGTTGAAAACTTGAAAAATCCAAAATTAAAGATTCAGAACATTGAAAAAATAAAATAAATAAAAACCGAAACGAAAAACTCCATATCGAGAAATTGAAGAACTGAAAAATTGAAAGATATAAAAATTGAAAGTTAAGAATTGAATACTCGTAAAATTGTAGATCGAAAAATTGAAACATCCAAAAGTTGGAAAACCGAAAAACAGAAAAATTTAAAAATGAAAATAGGTCTCCAAATTTAAATTTTTAAATTCGAGTTTCCCGAGTTTTCAATGTTTCGATTTTATAATTTTTTGTTTTTTCAGTTTAAAGTTTTTCAGTTTTGTGTTTTTTCAATTTTTCGATTTCCAATGTATTAATGTTTCATTTTTTGTTTCTTTATTTTTTCAGTTTTACAATTTTCATTTTTTTCGATTTTTCAGTTTTTTGACTTTTAAAAAACGAAAAATTAAATATCAAAAAAGTATAAAATTGGAGAAAATTGAAAATTCGAAAAACTAATAAATGAAAAAGTGGAAAATCGAAAAATTGCAAATCGAAGAACTGAAGAAACGAAAAATCGAAACATTGAAAAACTAAAAATCGAGAAACCTCAAAATTTGAAAAAATTAATGAACTGGAAAATTGGAAACCCAAGAATTGTCAAATCGAAAAATTATAGAATCGTCAAAAAGTCGAAAAACTGAACATTGAGTAAATAATTGAAAAATCAAATAATGACAAAGTGAAAAATTTTAAATATTATTTCAAATTATGATACAAATTTAAAATGAAAACTAGAAAAATTGCAGATGAAAAATTGAAAAAAAGAAGAATTATAAAATCGAAAAGTTAAAAAATTTAAAATATGGAAACTCGAAAAATCCAAAAATTTAAAGAACTGAATACTCGTAAAATTGCAGATCGAAAAATTGAAACATCCAAAAGTTGGAAAATCGGACAACAGAAAAATTTAAACATGAAAAGAGGTCTATAAATTTAGATTTTTCAATTCGAATTTTTAGTGTTTCGATTTTATAATTTTTTGTTTTTTCAACTTTTCGATTTGCAGTGTTTTTTAATTTTATTTTTTTATCGATTTTACAATTTTTTTCTTCAAATTTTCGATTGACGATTTAGAATTTTTAATTTTTTCGTTATTAGATTTTAAAACTGTGCATTTATTCGATTTTTCAGTTTTTAATTTCTCAATTTCTCTGTATATAAGTTTTCAATTTTTCGATCATTCAGTGTCACAGTTTTCGACTTTACACAATTTTAACGATTCTATAATTTTTCGATTTTACGGTGATTGGGTTTTCCAATTTTTCGATTCGATTCATTTTTTCGTTTTTTCAGTTCTTCGATTTGCAATTTTTAGATTTTCCACTTTTTTTCGCTTTTTCAAAAATCGAAAAATTTCGCATAGAAAAACAAACAGTTAGAAAATTGCGACACTGAAAAACGGAAAAATTAAAAAAAATAAAGAAAATAAGAAATCGAAACGAAAATCTGATATTCGCAAAATTGAAGAAACAAAAAACTAAGAAAATTTAAATTGAGGAAACGGAAAAATTATATAACCGGAACATTGAAAAATCGAAAATTTGAACAAATGAAAAATTAAAGAATCGAAAAGTCGAATGATTAGTAAGTCCAAAACTTACATGGAATGACGAAATGGCAAAGATACTGAGGAAAAGGAACCTAGGATGGGAAATCCTTTGCGAAAAACAAAAGAGAATGGAATAAAGTGGTATATGGAGCTCAAGAGGAAGTACGATTTTATAGCTAAAAACTCGAATTTTATATTGATTTTACCTTACACCTACTAAATACTCCATCTAAATTATGTGTGACTTATACATCTAACTAAACCCTAGAGAAATCCACACATAAAGTATCATCTACCGAGACTATTAATCGATTTCGAGCTTTTTAAAGTTACCATAGTAACCCAAAAAGTCGCTATCTTCCAGTTTCTGAGGGCGAAGGCTCTCATCCACCTTAATTTCATCAATGTGGTCAAACAGGTCTTGGGTCTTCCTGTATTTTTCTTCTAGTGCATCTCCAACATTAAAGTAAATTTTTCGTACGAATTTTCACCCGAATTACCTTCTAGTTCTTGTAAAGATAATCCTTCGCCACCAAAGTCGACAGGAAGTAAATCCGGACGAATGACTTTCTTCAGGCTATCCAGGTCCGGGTGAAAATACAGCTTTAAAAAATCACAATCAGCGTCACTTAGTTTTTGAACGTTTGCACTTACTCTCTCGAACACTTTTGGTTTGATAACACTTTTTAAAGCACGAACAATGTTCATAATGTATGGTGC